CTGCGGCACGCTCTGCCCAGGACCCTGCCGACGTCAGGATCCCGCTCCCCAACCGCGGGGTGCGCCTGCCGTGTCCCAGGGCAGGGAGCTCCCTGGTACCCCTGTCCTTGCACCTATTCTGTCAGCCCTGAGCCCGCACCCTGCTCACTCGAACTCCCTTATTGGAGAGGACTTGTTCTCCCTCTCTGTCTCACTGACAGCACCATATCCCTCCGTATTGCTCCCACAATCACCCCTTTTCCAACTGTCCTGGGTTAAATCTTCATAGCTCATACGGAAGCAGTCCCACACCGTGAGCTGCCCTTGCTGGCCCTCTCTGAGTCCCCTCTGAGTCCCCTCTGAGTCCCCTCGGAGTTGAGGGAACCAGGACTGCATCCAGCTTCAGAGCCAGCAGGCACTTGCACAGTGGCAAAGAAAGATGTCCTAGCGAGGTCTTATTTTCCTGCTAATTCCTAGCATTTGATACAGTTGGTTTTGGGTTTTTTTTGTGATGTTACTGAGCTGATGTTATCATAAGCCTGTCATAACCCCAAGATCACCTTCCCCAGTGGTAATGGTCTGTCTGTCTGTCCCAGAGCATCGCTGCCAAGCTGGGCTCTGCACAGAAAGCTGCGGTGGCCACTTCCTTCCTTCTGTGTGCGAGTGAGTGAGCCACTGTTTCTGCACACAGAGGCTCAGCCATTTTAATTCCTTACCACGTTGTGGGAGACCTAAGTTCAAGTCCTCCCTCAAGCTGGGAGGGTACAAAATCCATCCCTGCCTTCCAGAAGAGTGCCATAACCACCAGACTAGAGGCTGCATGTGACTCTGTCCTCGTTGATGCCACTAGAAACGCCTCACTTATCAGAAGATAATTAGTTAATTACTGAGACAAAGCGAGCTTAGTAGTTGAGACACCGGGGTGAAGGAGAGGGCTACAAAGATGATTAGGGGACCGGAGCATCTCTTCTGTGAGGAAAGGCTGAGAGAGCTGAGCCTGTTCAGCCTGGAGAAGAGAAAGCTCGGGGGGATCTGATCAATGTGTATATAAGCATTGGAAGGGAGGGTGTCAAAAGGATGGGGCCAGACTCTTCTCCGTGGGGCCCAGCGACAGGACGAGAGGCAACGGGCACAAACTGAAGCACAGGAAGCTCCCTCTGAACCTGAGGAAAAACTTCTTTGCTGTGAGGGTGACGGAGCACGGGCACAGGTTGCCCGGAGAGGTGGTGGAGTCTCCTTTCCTGGAGAGGTTCAAAAGCCATCTGGATGGGATCCTGGGCAACGTGCTCTAAAGGACCCTGCTTGAGCAGGGGGCTTGGACTGGATGATCTCCAGAGGTCCCTTCCAACCTCAACCATTCTGTGATTCTGTGAGAGGAGCCCACGTTACAGGACTTGTGTGTTAGATGGTAGTTGTTTAATGTGGGATATATAGAGAGTCTTTGGAGCAGGGGCTGGAAGCTTCCAGAACAGCCTGTGGCCAATAGATTTGGATTTTCTTCTGAGAGCTATGAATTCAATTCCCTTGGATACAAGAAAGAATTGAAGCAGGTCTCTGACCTCCTGGCTGAGTGCCCTGGTCGTTGAGTTAGCAGATAAACAGAGAGCAACAACTCTTTCCTCTCTGATTCTTGTAAGGAAAACACTCACTTCCTCTCCTCTTGTACCTCTGCTCTCCCCTGGCTGTCGAAAGAAAGCTGAGGGAAGAGCTCCAGACTCTGAGGTGGAAGATGACATTCTCCAGTCAAAGTGACCAGGGCCTTCAAACGCTGGAGAAAGGTGATGTTTTAGACAACCTCCCCCCACCTCTTCTTTTCCCCAGCTCCTTTATTGACTCTCCCAGGTGCTGCCCCACTGGGTAGGCTGGATTTATGGCTCTCACCCTGCAGTCTTGAGTTCTTCCCCACCCTTTCATATTGTCTGCTTTCATCTTCCGACACAGATTGAGATGCAAGGACCAGGCCACAGATTTGGACACTTACAGTATTTAGCCCCTCTAACACTCACTGTCTCTTTGGCTGATAAAATGCTGATAAAATTGTTGTTGTGCAGGAGCTGCGGGGCTGCTTGCCAGCTGTGGCTGGCAGCCTGAAGTGGCTGGTGGCTAGCTGCAGCAGGTGGACTGCAGCTAGTAGAATTCAATACATTTGTTTCTCCGAGTGGGTGTGTGTTTGTGGCTGGAACTTCCTATCGTATAGCTTTATCGCTTAGAACAAATCTTTCAAAAACGTTTGCCGCCACTCTTTTGACTTTTCTAAATAATCAGAGGAGAGGAAGAAAATGCATATTAAAAATTACCTCTGATTTGAAATTGGAGGCTGTACAAGCAGTTCACTTCGTGGCGCAGAAGACTGGGAGTGTGCACTGCACGTGATCTGAAGTCTGGGAGTCCTTGGATTCATGTGCGAACGAGTACCTTGAAACACTGTCAGCCAGATGAGCCCAAGGCAGGTTAATAATTTATTATCTCAGAGGCCTTCAAGGTAGTTATATAAAATGTTGTAATAATCATATGAATGCTAATTGGGTTCCTCGAGATGTGTGATTGCGCAGCCTAATCTGCATCTACTCGGAGGAGTTCTCCTGGCTTTGAGGAAAACATAAAGGCTCGCTGCAATGAATAATACTATTATCTTTGTTTGTAAGGGTGTTTCAGTGTTAAACCCTTTAATTCAACATTTCACACTTGGCGCCCACAGTGACTGATAGGTAAGCGATTGATATTGCTGAGAACTGAAGTGCATAAAAGGCAGGAAGTTCCTTATAAAAGCTCCTAGAGTGACATGAGGTTAACTGCACTGAGTGGCTGTACCTACATCCTGGCCCGATTTCTCTGAGTCTCAAACTTTGTGTCTCTTAGATGAGCTAGGTCTGTTACTGTTCCCTATAGATGGAGTATTGCGTGCTCCCCTGTCCTGGGAGCCAGACATCTTCCCCCTAACCTGCATGTGCCGAGGAACTGCTCCTGGTAACCTGCTCCCTTGAACTAGAAAACAAAGAAGGGGAACAGCATCTTACTGCCCCGATATCTGCGGTGTGGGCTACGGAAAGAGTCCTTGGTTCAGGATCACCAGACTAGTAGGATGGAAATCTTGGTAGTTTGTTACCAAGAAACTGTGCTCAGCGCCAACCTGGTTATAGGGAATAAAGTGTTTATTCCAGCAGCTGCTTAGAATTCTAAAGCTGAAATAATAAATAGAAGCACAAAGAAAACCACACATCTACTTGTACCTCAGATCATCTCTTGTGGTTCCTTTTACCCCTGTGGTATATAGCCTCTTGGGTAAGGATTTAGCTGGGAAGCCTACGCCTGCGGTTGTACTCTTGGAAGCATGCTGGCTTTGTGAAGCCGTACCTTGAACCTCAAAACTGGCTGTGTCAGAGTCGGGTCACCTCGATGGGGATTGTCTAGCTCCGCTGGTCAGTGAAGAAGGAGCTTCGGTTTCTCCAGCTCTGCAAACCAGTGTCTCCCCTATTATTTCAAAAGTGCTCCTGGGGTATTCTCTTCTGCCCGGATGGCCAACACTGCTCTGATACTGGGCTGCGCCCAAATGATCTTTACCTCAGGGTGACATATGCTGTGCGTTCCTGCCTTTGAGAGAGACTGTGACCCAACTAAAGGGCTGCAGTTCTGCAGAGCCAGGCGCGTTCGGGATTTACTGCTTCACTTGAGCTGAACTGTGCTGCAGCAGTCCTCACGGAGCTGCCAGAGGAAGATGTGCATCGATAAGGGCTCTGCGTGCTGTCCTGGGGCTGCTCCCACCTCTGCCGTGGGCACCTCCCACCCATCCCCAGTCTGGCGTGTTCAGAACAGGCGGCAGGAGCACCCTCCAGGTCTCGTGAGTCACCACCGAGACTAGGTGACACTTCACTAGGTGGCAGTGTTGGCTCAAGCAAAGGGACCTGGACCAACTTCAGGGCAGGTTGTACTAGGAGGGCTGATTTCTGTCCAGGATCCAGTGCTGGCAAACCAGGAAGCAGGTTGCCATCTGTTGATTTATTGTCCTGCAGAAGGCAACCTCAAGGAGTACCCCACTTTCCTCTTGCTAGGCCCCTTCTGCTCACCCTCTGTGAGGTTGGCTCAGTCTCACTTTATTTCTGCCGTTTTTTTCCTGATCTTGCCAGAATCCGTGGAGTTCAGCAG